ATATATATATATATATATATATATATATATATATATATATATATATATATATATATATATATATATATATATATATATATATACATACACACACACACACACATCTATACATATATATATGCATATACACACAATTATATAGGCGATTTCCCTAGAAAACTCACATTTTTTTTTTCCAAATAGTGTCCCTAATTCCCCTAATTCAAATTCAAAAATATACAAACTGCTTCTCTGTCGTTGTCGCCCACGTCGCCTGTCGCCTCCGCTGCCTTTGCCCTTTGCTCCCACTGTGAGGCCCCATCGCTGGTGGAGAGGGAAAGTGAGGGGAGGAGGAGGAGGAGAGGACGGGCTATGGTGAAGGAGGGGAGAGGAGGAGTGAGCGGGCGGAGAGGAGAGGAGGAGAGGACGAGCAGTGGGGAAGGAGGGGAGAGGAGGAGAAGGGGAAGGTAGAAGGGTGGGCAATGACGATGGTGTTGGAGGGGCAGTTTGGGTACTTTTTGAATTAGGGGCACTGTTTGGGAAATATTCAAAATATTGGTATTTACTAGAGAAATCATCATCATCATCATCATCATCATCATCATCATATATATATTCATTGAGCTTCGAGTTATTAGTAGTGGTTGATGTGACCCTCTTTGCTCTAGCTTTATGACAAGAATTTAATTAGTTTTATTTGGTTATGATTAAAGAGTCGTCATCTGCCCTTATATGTTTGCATCAAGATATGTCAATTTACATTGTTGTTATATATTTGTTTAAAGAAGGTGCTTTTTTCTTAAATTTTTCCAAGGTTAGTCAGGGCTTCATCCAAATCAAGTAGATTACATAAATGCTCATGCAACTTCAACACCTCTTGGTATGTATCTTGCATATTCTGATGCCTATTTGACATTTTTAAATATTGATGACCCCATAGGTGCTTCTTATAAGCAATTTCTTTAAGCTGCTATTTGACCAAGCAGGTGATGCAGCAGAAGCTAACGCCATAAAATCAGTATTCTCTGACCATGCAACATCAGGTGCTTTAGCACTGTCCTCGACGAAGGTATTGTTACTTGTTTTCCTCGCTAATCTTTTGAAGCGGTAGGTTACCTTCTATGCTTCTTGTCAATCGTTACATGCCTAAAATTGGTGATTTACAGGGAGCTACTGGCCACCTACTTGGAGCAGCTGGCTCTGTAGAAGCCATCTTTAGCGTGCTAGCTATTTGCCATGTAAGTTCATCTGGCTGACATTGTTGTGAGTGTGATCATCCTAAATCTTCTTTGCTCATCTGCTTCTTCTAATTTCAGGGAATAGCACCACCAACGCTCAATCTTCTAAACCCAGATCCTGTTTTCCATGATGGGTATTTGCCTTTGAGCACTTCCAAGAAGATGCAAATAAGAGCTGCACTCTCGAATTCATTTGGCTTTGGTGGCACTAATGCATCACTGTTGTTTGCTTGCCCACCAACTTAGTCTCGAGAGATTCTGCCATTTCTCAAATTCTTTTTGAGTCACCAAATAGTACGAGGCGTTCGTTCCAATGACTTGTAAAAGCATTACAAACTGTGTCATGGTGATGTCAATTACCTTTCCTGTAATCTAACCAGTTCATATGTTAAAAGTAACGGAAGGAAGCTCTTCGAATCCTAGACACCCTCTTTCCACGCACTCTTAATCTGTTAGATCTGGTTCCAAATTTCTCTACTTTGTGCTTGTTTGACTGTGTTCTAGTTGTGCAGTTGAGTGACGTGCGTGTGAAATCTACAAATGACAAGGACAGTGGTCTCACTTTTCTTCCTCAACTCATTGTCGCTTATGGTGCCATGGCTGACGATTACATTGCAAGATTGGAGAACGAGTAAAAGAGGTACCAAATCTTCTCACCCCTTTTTTTATTATTGTTCAATAGTTCATATTTATATCCTGCCTCGAATGTGACGGTGCATTGGGAGCCACCGGAAAACGCGTGGCCCGCAAGACATGGATCTGTCTCAGGCCGGCACGCAAAGGGAACAATGAAAAGCGATCCGGACCGTCCATTCCCTCAGACTGTTGGTATCAAGAATTGATTGACGGTCAGGATCATCAGGAGGCAGGTAAAAGCAGCGGCGGGTGTCGCAAGTCGAACCCCTTCACGGACGCCTAAACCGACAGTTCTCTCTTGATAACAAGTAGACCAAAATGTCCAACCTATCCATCCATGTTGTCTTTTAATAAGGTGATGTTGGATTGACACAAGACTTACATCCATTAAATTGCTGAGATGGAGAGAGTCATATGCAAACACGAGGGTGGTTTGGTTTGGCCAAGTCGCACGTGCGACTCGGTCATTGGACTTGGCTGTTGGGCGTTGAAAGGTTCTTCTCGTGTGCCTTCCTCCATTACTACATGATCACATGTAGCTTTCCTTCTTCCACGGGTCTTCTTCCCTCACCCACATCAACACCACCACATTAATAGAGTCTCCGATACGTGACAACCAGTTCCCTTCCTGTATCCCACGTAGAGAATTCCCAACAGTGCAACCCATTTCAATTCAACTATAATGCAATATACATGTGGCTGACTTGGGATGCGATGCTGAGGCCAAATACAACGAGCATCTAATAGAATTCCAAAATTGGATTCCCGTCATGTCTCCGTCCATCACACCATGTGGTCACATCCACCGTTCACGCTGCGGCGATGTGATTTGTCCGTGTTGCTCTCGTAGGCCACCATCATCGGCGCCGCGGCGTAATACCATCTGATCCAATCGCAAAGTCTCCTGTTCGCCCTCCCTTCTCCGCCGCTGGAAGTCCGCCACAGAAGGAAGCTCTCTTGGTTTCACCGTTGGGGAAAACAGATGGAATTTTTCGCCTCTCATGGCCTCATCCATGGCGTCGCCGTCCCACTTCCGCGGGGAAGTCCCTCCCAACACAGAGCCAGAGGATAAAGAAGAGATCTTTTTCTGCTACCATCGTCTCCCCGTTCTAATCTTCGTAGAGGGGATGTTTTGAGGAGCCAGTGGTAGAAGATATCTCTAGGATCGCTCGCTTTGGACTGCCCGCATCCCTTCTTCTTCTTCTTCTCCTCCTCATTTCTAATCAAAATGCAATATTTGAACTCCTAATGCATTTTGACCATTTCCTTCAACCAAACCGATCTAAAAAAAAGCCACCTTTCTTCCGTCTGGGAAGGAACATTGATCTTTGATTTATATCCAAGGCCATGTGCCAATGAACCTTTTGTGGGATATCCATCGTAGGAGCTTCATGGCTTCTCATCAAAAGCGAAGGATTGATCCTTAGATGACCAGATTTTTCTTGTGTTCAGGTAATGTGACTTCTTTTTTCGTCTTCATTGTGGTTTGAAGCAATTGGCTATTCTGGCTGATCCAAAAGATACGATTTTTGAAGGAATCCACCATCGTCCTTAAGAGGCCATTGGAGACAGGATGTTTGGAACTCAAGCCCAAAAAGAGGCATCCAATGGGTTTGCCCTCAGAAGAAGAGCCTATTGGCTAACCTCGGCCACCTCCACCGCCAGGGCCACCACCATCACCTCCATCCCCAAGAAGCCAAGCACCTTCTCTGTCAAATTCGAAGACATGTACGGGTTCACCGCCGAGGGGAACATCGACGATGTCAATGTTCTGAACGAGGTGAGGGAGAGGGTGAGGGAGCAGGGTAGGGTTTGGTGTGGCCTCGAGGCAAGCAAAGGTGCAAACTGGTACCTGCAAACGCAAATCTCATCCAACGGTGAGGGGATCAGTGTTGCCTCGCTGAAGCTGTCGAAGCTTACTAACATGATCACATTGAAGAGGCTCGTCAGGAAAGGGATACCGCCAGTGCTGAGGCCAAATGTGTGGCTTTCGGTGTCTGGCGCTGCAAAGAAGCGATCCACGGTGCCGGAGAGCTACTATGATGATCTGATCAGAGCTACAGAAGGAAAAGTTACACCTGCCACAAGACAAATCGATCAGGTGAGTAGAATTCAGAGTATCTAAGCTTGAAAGAAAATTAATATGATATGTTGTCATTATCTCTGATCATTGTGCTTATTATGATTTGGGCGTGATAGTTTATCTCAGAAATTATTCCAGATTCTTATATGTATGGTTTTTTATGGATATATGTATATTGTATACTGCAGATCATGGAATTGCCTCTATTCTGCCTCGGAATGATGTAGGATTCGAAGTTAGTAGTGTTTTCATATGTATGGACAATTTCAATTTCACATAAACTGCATAGCAGAAACAGACAATGTAAATATTACAGGCAAACATGTAGCTAACAAGCACATGAAAGGTTCATATGAGCCCCTTCACTCGATCCAACATCTAGATTAAGTTTTCTTTTGTTCATCTTTGTCTCATTAGAAGCAATGATATAATATGTGTTCTGGTGGAGAAGAATTAATATTGAAAACACAAAGCTGCATACATTCACAACTGGAGTTGAATATGACATTTTCTCTCATGGATGAGATTATTATGACTTCCTACATCCATTTTTTACCTTTTTAATCAATATTTGATGTATATGCAGGATCTCCCAAGAACTTTCCCCTCTCATCCGTGGTTGGACAGCCCTGAAGGTCAGGCATCTCTTCGGAGAGTCCTTGTTGGGTATTCTTTTCGAGATTCAGATGTTGGTTATTGCCAGGTAATTGAAGTTTTCCTTTTCACCGACACTAAAACAACATGTTGCGATTCCTCCATAGCATCTGAAATTTAAAGCCACCACTACAGGGTCTAAATTATGTGGCTGCCCTATTGCTACTAGTAATGAAAACAGAAGAAGATGCTTTTTGGATGCTTGCTGTCCTCTTGGAAAATGTGTTGGTTAACGACTGCTACACGGATAACCTTTCCGGATGCCATGTAGAGCAAAGGGTGTTTAAAGATCTTCTAGCAAAAAAGTGTCCCAGGTTTACATTTATTTCTTATGACCTCCAGCGCTATTTTATTTACCCGAATGTCCATGACCTAATAGCTGTTCATTTTGCTTAAACATTCAGGATAGCTGCTCATTTAGAAGCCATGGAGTTTGATGTCTCTCTTGTAGCCACAGAATGGTTCCTGTGCCTCTTTGCAAAGAGCGTACCATCTGAGGTAACATTAAATTCAAGGAAATCTGTTATGTTTTGTCAATGACCTCAAGGCAAAAAGAAAATTTAAGAAATGGCTGTGCTAGACCTACATATAGTTTATAACTATGCAGAACTATGTCTAGTTTGTCATCAATGTGTAAAAAGAAAATAATGTTGACTTATTGGGCTTTTAGTATTACTTCATTTTCTATTGTCTGCTTGAAAGGATTATCCTTGCTGAGTTACATTCAATTCAACTTGTCATGAAAAAAAAATCTTTCTTGTTTGTTTAACCTGCTTAGTGTCTACACTCAGTAATCTGGTATCATTTGATTGATAATTAGGCAACAATTTCACCTGGCACATTTGTTAGTATAACTTCTGTTTGATAACTCTGCTGCTAGGTTCATGATCTCATGTGGGAGATATGGCGTCTAAGTGCTGAGGATTTGCCTATGCTATATTCATATCTTATTATCTGACGTAAAGTCTTCTAATCAATTTTTTCAAAAATTAATTCTGAATGTCTTTTCAGACAACCCTGCGGGTCTGGGATATTCTTTTCAATGAGGGGGCAAAAGTTCTTTTTCATGTTGCCCTAGCCATCTTTAAGGTATACCACTTGTATCTTGGTCTCTTATGGGTAAACTAGTCTCTATTCAAGAAATTTTGGATTGTTTTTTTTATAATAAATGATGAAAGATCATTAATTTTTAGTAGATTATTGGAAAGGACTATACAATGTCCATTCTCATGGTCTTGCTTTAACCACTCAATGTGATTCTAGATGAAGGAAGACGACTTACTACGTGCTCATCAAATAGGCGAGGTAATTGATATTTTACAAACAACCACCCATCATCTATATGACCCCGATCAATTGCTCACGGTAAGAATGTTTGCTTCCTTTGATGCTAAACTTTTATCTTGTGGAAATTTCCTAGTCATAGTTGGAACATACTAAAGGACATTTTTTTTGTTAGAAATAATACCAGTAATCTGAGATAAATTATTGTGATTCTATTAGGTGTCTACTTGCCTCATCTACTAAATCATATTGGCTAGGGTACACTGATAGAGACATGAAAAATCTAGTGCTGTCTTCATTAACATTCGGTATCCAGAACTACTTCTGTTGAACATATTTTACTAAATTATTGAGAATATATGCCTTGACATAAGTGCTGTATCAAGTTTCCTCCCTAAAGGTCGTCCTTAGTGTTCTTTGTAGAAAACCATTCCTCGTCAGCAGTGATTGCAAAAGGCGCTCGGGCGCTCGCCTAGGCGCTCGGGCGAGGCGAGGCGAGGCCCGAGCGCCTCGCTAATGTCCCAGGCGGCGCGC